AATTCTGTTTTGGTTAACTTTGCTTTCTTGCAGCTGTGACTGCAGATTATCCCGTTGACTTTCGACCAAATTGGGGAGCAATGAACTTTCTTTCTGATTTCCTTCGGCCTACAGCTGCCGAGGGGTCTTCTCCATGGTACCATCTTCTCAAGAAAGCTGGAGGGGGTTGCAATGACCTGTTATACAGTGGTCATATGCTCGTTGCAGTCTTAACGGCTATGGCGTGGACGGTATCTACATAATCTAAAAATTCAAAAATATTCTTCCTCTTTCTATTATCTTTGGGATAATTACACATACTAACCTCGAGGTTTAACATGATCAAAATACACTCCGATTATGTTTTGAAATTACAAGTGCCTACTTGACGTATTTTTATGGGGAATCTGCATTTGAGATAAATACTAAGAAAGATATATATACCCTAACTTCTCTCTCCGTTCACAATTTTAACTGAACCTCTGAATAATTGCTAGAAAAGTCTCTTGAAATTGTTCTTAACAAAAATTGAAAGTTGGAGGATTTAATGGCGAAAAAGAAAGAGAAAGACCTGAAAAAAATGAAAGCGAGAGAGCACAGATTGTCGGATGTCTAAAAAAATGGAAGTTATATATAGTCTTTACATGGAGATGTTTAAAGATCAAAGTAGAATTATGAAAAAAGTGAAAAGTTTGAGTACCTTTAGTAATCAACTCTTTCATCATTATAGAAGATAGCTCAATTTTTTTTTCTTCTAATTACGACCCTCTAATCTTTCAAAACTACAAAATACCCCATTTCACGACTAGCTACTTTATCGTTTAAACCCCAGTTATCGTCTTTGCAATCACCCCTGTAAATTGTAATTTTAACGAAATTGATTCACATTTTCATTTTTTTTACACGAATGCAGGAAGCCTATGGTGGCTACACTTCAGCTCTCATTTGGATACTTGTGGCCCACAGTGCCCAAAGAGAAATCCGCGAACGTCACCACTACACCGTGGACTGCATTGTGGCCATATACATGGGCATCTTTTTGTGGAAGATGACGGGCCTTTTCTGGCCCGTTAAGGACAATTCCAGATATAGCCGGCTTGATAAGCTCGAGAAAATACAGAGCAGGCTAGTGCAAGCTGCCAAAGACTCGGACATGGATGAAGTTAGAGAACTCTTGAAAGAAGTCGAGTTTAGCAGTCAAGCAACCGGTCAGAAACCAAAAAGTCGAGCCATGTGGCTGTTTTCAGGCGCGACCATTTTTTTCGCCATCGTTATTGTTCTTCTTGCGTTCACTTTGACTAGTGATGGCTGATTCGTCACACGGGATGAAGATTTAGGATTTTACGTGTGATCGTGTAATCTCTTCTTGTGTAGGATTGGATTTTTGGGACCTTTTGTTTTTAGTTGTGGTTTTGTAAATGACATGCAGATATGGAAAACTGCATGCTGAAATTAAAATAATTTTCGAATGTGATCTAAAATGGAAATGTGTGAGTTGTGACCTTGTTGGGATCAATTGGGACCAGTCCAGATTGAAATTGGGCTGGGTTTAGTTCTATTCAAGCCCGGTTCGAGTTAAAAAGGTTTTAGGTTTATCTTGGTAACAATAAATTCCCATTATTAAGCATAAAAATACATCAATTTTTTTTTCAAATTTATTACTTTTGACCACAGTTTAATTTCTCCTTAAATTTGGGACAAGAGATCTATAAACAAATTGGTTTCATAATAGTTCAATTATACTCTAATTTTATTCGAATTATTCAATATTTAAATTTATTGTTATGAAAAAAGTAAAATTAAACTTCTAGTATAGGAAATGTTCCAACAACATGAAGACTTTTATGAATAGCTCATTTTTCAGTTATAATAAAGCTCTCAAAATTGCATTAGAAATTTTTATGAATGTGTGTGATAAATACCACAAGTTACTCATAAATTATTTTTGTTTTCTTCTTTAAGACTACTACTGTTATGCTTAGTAAATTAGCTGATAGCTGATAAGTAAGTTTATAGATTGTACATTTATAAACGATAATTTATGCCTTATGAGTTAGTTGATATGATAAAAATATTTGATAAAATTAACATATAATTTAACTGCTAGATTTATTTAAAAAGTTAATCAAAGTGTTTACGAGATAAACTCGAAATTTTTTAACTACAAAGCTTTATTTGAATAAGAAAAAAATTACACGTGAAAAAAACGTTTGACTATTTTTATTATCTTCAAAGTTTCTTTCTTTTGTCTTTGTCCAATCCGTTCGGTTTTGGCATTTGCTCTTTCCTTCCTCAAATTCAGGCAAAGGAGAAGAGAAATGTCGATTTCAGCAACCGCCGCAGCTTCTATCGCCGTCAAAACGTCGTCGTCTTCTCCATCGAGGAGTTGTAAATTTGCTCACTTTTCTTCTCTCCGGCTACCCACAGAGCTTCGAGTTTCCAGCCTTCGGAGCCATAACCTCGGTACTAATCCCCGCCGTCAGGCACTCACGCTGGTAACTATCTATTTTTCTTGTTAAAGAAGGTTTAGCTGAAAGTTTATTTGGTCTTTGGTCGATGACAGAAGTTTGTCTTGGATTTCTGTTGCGTAATTTTCATGGTGATGTTATGTTCTGGAATATTCACTTTTATTTTTTGTCTTAACCTTTGTGTTTATGGGTCTGCTAATTGTCGTTATATGTATGTGTTTTCTGTGTTATGGTGTTGATTTGATGAGAGTTGCTTCAGATTCTGGTTTGCTTGTGGAAGATGTTAATTTTTAAGGCAATTTGTCAACAAATTTGAGGGACTTCTTTTATTATTTTTATTTTTCATTTTGGTCCTATTATTGGACTTTCTGGCCAAAGTGAACCGATGAAATCTCTTGAATGTGTTTCGACTTTCAACCTTGCAGTTGAACGAGAATAAGCTTAGCTGCTTGAGTAAAATAGATTTTTAGTACAGATTTGCTGGTGATTGGTGAGAGCATGATAGCCCTTTTAATACTTACAAGAATATGGAATTCATTCGAAGCTTTTGGGCTTTAGACTGCTGAGCAGTGAGCACATTAGCTGTGCTTTCAGTTATCTGGGATCCAATGGCATTGTTCATAAATCGTACATGGCTGAGTTTTCAATCATTAACTGTCAATGTAGGCATGAACCATAGTACATAGTCCTTTGTTTGATAATGTAAATTCTTGATGAGCATGTCACATTTGTCTTGTATATATTGATCTCATATTTTGTTAAACCTCAAACAATGAGTTCTAGGTGACAAGTTGAAAGTACATAATCAGTTAGACTCTATATAAGCTGAAATAGAAAAGCAAAAGCAGCACTCCTGTTTGTTGCAAATTGTGGATTAGGATTATCATTAGTAGAGTGTAGTTGAATACATTTTATAGGGATATGGAATGAATGATATAAAGAAAAGGAAGCAGGAGATGAATGAATGGTAAGGAAAACTCATACTTGACCATAAACTAGCCCTTTTTATTGTTAGTTTCTTCAGTTATTAAATTCTGTTTCCCTTAAAACACTCGCGCGTGGGCAACTGGCCTACATTTTGTAGTTTACTCAAATTCTCTATTATTATTTGGTTTTTGTCTCGATGTTGTGAATGGTATTTTTTTTATTTGATATATTTGGGTTTTACTCTCAAAGGTTGCAGCAAAGCAGCAGACATATTCTTCCTTTGATGATTTGTTGCAAAAGTCTGATAAACCCGTGTTGGTCGACTTCTATGCTACTTGGTAATGTCTCTAAAGAGTATTCCTTGATTTCCTCTTTGAAGAATGATAAAATTGTAAAATTTGTAATTCATAAAATTGTTATCAAGTAAACAATTAATGTTTGCTTGGGTTGCACCTCATGGTGAATATATGTAAATTTGTCATCTTATATATATCTGAACGTAATTTTCACTTTTTTACTATTTCCAGGTGTGGTCCTTGCCAGTTCATGGGTCCGATTCTGGATCAGGTCAGTGGAAAATTGATCGATAAGATCCAGGTGGTGAAAATTGACACCGAGAAGTATCCCAGCATTGCCAACAAGTACAAGATAGAGGCATTACCAACTTTCATTTTGTTTAAGGATGGGGAACCGTATGATCGATTTGTAAGTGACATGATGTTATTGATTGCCTTGTGTTTGTTTCCGTTAAAAATATACTCCAATAACGACATATCTGTCCCTGTATTAATCTGAAACTAAGAATATTAATATGTTTTTCTAGTACAATATTTTTTTTTGTTTTAATTCAAGTTACTTAAGAAATTGTCATTTCTTGCTTCCAAAATATGCAGTTCGTGCCTATAACTCACAAAAAGGTTTGAATGACAATGAGATCTTCATGAATTAATTATGTCTTGTTATTTTTGTCCACTGTTGGTAGTCCTTTTCATATTTTACTAAATATATTTGTCAAATTCAGGAGGGCGCATTGGGTGCTGAGCAGCTTATCCAACGCATTGAGGCTTCACTGCAAGTTAAGAAGTAGTCGAATTTCGGGGGTGAGTTTGTTTGCCTAATGCCTATTTGTATATCACAATTGAAAGAATTGGAGAAAATAAACATTTATTAAGTTAGTCAAACTAACTTCGCAGCTTTCTGTAATGATTCTCGAATTGCAGGATAATCATGTGCCCTCTCATGTAGTAAAGATGGCTGATTCTCGTGTTTGATATCTCTACGAAGCAGTTACTAATGCTGGCTATGTATAATCATTTTTACTTTGGGAAAATGAATCTCATAATAGGGAGAACTATTAAAGCAGTTGGATATTTTTTTTTTTTTTTTTNTTTTTTTTTTTTTTTTTTGGTTATGCCATATGCCTGATACACTGAAGTTATAAGCTTCTTCTTCTTCCTTCCTTCCTTCTTTTCTCATTTTGATCTTTGTAATTACATAATTTGCCCTGTCTCCTAATTTTAATAAAGTACATGCCATAGAACATTGTACTTTATTACTTCATATGTTGACTACACTAAAATTTCATTCTTCAGGAATATCATCATATATACTCATCATCCATAAGCTCCCATGACCCATCTCCTTTCTGCACCATGCTTTTGTTCTTCTCACACCACCAATCAACCGGCACACAGTACTCATCCCTCAGCCCGTCCGTATGCTTGTTAACGAGAGCAATATCACGCCTGACCGACAATTCAAAATCCCCATTTTGCCCCTGAGTGCCGGCAACCCCATGCAAATAAGACTCCAAGCTATGCCAACTCCCAACATCTCCTTTCTTCAGATAACTCGACTTTCCAGTATCGATGGCCAGCTCTTTCCCTACCTCCGCATACCCTATCCCGAGCGTGGGATATTTCGGGACGACATCTCGGGAATTTGCGACACGTAGGATTTTAAGGCCCGGTAGCTTTTCTGCAAAAGCCCGGAAATTTTCGTCCCCAACCCGCGGGCTTGCGAATAGGAAGGCCGTGACCGGACATTCCTTATTGGGCCGGGTGGTGGGCTTGTTGTACCCGTTGGCAACAATGTCGACGGCGTTTAGCGTCGAAATTGCCGCACCTAAGCTGTGACCGGTTATCGTTATGCTTATGTCTTCATTTTTGTAGTGTTCGACCAATCTCTTTACCTCTTCAAGAACCTGATCAAAGAAATTAGATGTGTTTTTTTACTTTTTAGGCGAAATTGCATGTAGAGGCACGCACCACTTTTTAGACTTTTGCAATTTAATCACCATCTTTTGCTTCATATGTTTTGCAGATCGAATAAAATTAACTTCTGTTCTGTTAGCTGACTCGGCATAGACGGAACGTCTACGTGGCTGACTTGGTACATATAGAAAGTCTAACGGAAGTTAAATTTATTATTCGTTTTGCAATATATATGAAAAACATATGAAAGGTTGACTTGGTACAGACGAAACTACAGCGGAAGTTAAATTTATGATTTGATCTACAAAATATATGAAAAACATATGAAAGGTGGTGATTGAAACACTAATAGTAAAAGGTGGTGATTAAATTGTAAAAAATCTTAAAGGTGGTGCATTTATATGCAATTTTTGCCTACTTTATGCTAAGGATATCTAAATATATAGACTCTACATCATTATACCTGTTCTCTAGCGCTCGTTTTGTTGAACCGGGACCTCGGGTCGTCTGAGGTGTAGACCGAGTTCCACCCGAGGTGTACCCTGGGCCCCTCGTCTCCTCCCATAACATCCGGGCTGGGCCTCAACACAAACTCCAAGTCATTAACCCATTCGAGCCCACGAACCGTGCCCCTCCAGGCCACAACGATGTCCCTACGGCCCAAGGCCCGTTTCCCACGGGCCGTGGCCACACCAACAAAGCCCATCCAGTTGGACTCCTTGCTCCAGGCCTCTCTCGACAGGGACTTGATGATGAACGAGTCGGGCAGCTTGGATGATGACGTGGCATATAGGTATTTGGTCACCTCGTACTCCAACGGGTTCGCCTCTCGAAGGCCCGACTTGTTGAAGTAGTCGTGTTTTGGGTATCTGCAGCTTCCCGCGCGTTTGGAAGCCTTTTCGGAGTTGAACGAGTCGTAGGTTGATTGGGCCATGGACCCGTAGTGGATAATGTATTGGCGGAGGTCCGGGTCCAGTGGGTCCAGCAGGCCGGCCCATTCACTGGTTTGGCCACTCAGGAGGCGCCACCTGTTGGGTATGTTTTCGCCGGGTTTTGGGTCCGGGTCGGTGAGTGGCCTCTTCTTTTTCTTTCTCTTGAGGAAGCTCAACATGTTACCTTGAACAAATATGAAAATACCTTTTAAATTATTTTTTATTTTTTTTTATTTGCAAAAATATT